GTAAACCGCCCTCAAGCATTTACTCAGAAGAACTATCAGATAGTGAGTATCGTCAAGCTTAGGGTTAGGTGTAGGGTATTGGGAGGAGTCACTATGGGTCATCGCGTGACACAGTGTAGGACTATAGCATGTATAAGTCCTAGTACCAGTTAACAGTTGAACTCCTGATCCTCAGTCGTTAGGTCCCTTAACAGCAACTTGGTGAGCTGCATCTCTCCTGAGATGAGCTGCTGTCCAAGTAGCATTGTAGCTTTTGCTCAACTGATAGTTCTCCATCATTGCTGTTCAATGATGTCCAAGAGGGACTGTTGGATCTCAATGGTGGTCAAGGTTTCAGTCATTCCAGGAGAGGTAATGACATTTTTGTGTACTCATTGATTCATCAGATCATAAATTTATTTACTTGTATGCAAAAAGGGATCTGGTGTGATCTATTAGTTAGCCACAAAAGAGAGTGCACTCTCTGAGAATAACATACCAGATAGGATCCTTGAGGTGCAAGAAGAAGAGTGCACACTCCTATTTCCTCTACCTGCCAGATATATCACCCTTTTTTGTCAGCCTCCTGAGTTCCATCAGCCTCCAAATTGGCTCAGCAGGCAGGAGTCTCCAAAAAACAGAGGGCACCATACTGGGCACAGCACGAATCACATCTTACTGGTCACCCTTATGGTCAAGCAGAGACTGTACCTCTCCAGTAATAAATGCCATTTCAGATGATCCTACTAGGCACAGTAGGTTTGAGAACTTGTAGCACATCAGCCCCACACCAATTAAATTTGCGAAAATAAAAATTTAAGCTCAATGAAATTCAGACCGCTGATCAGTCATTTGTTGCGATACAACCATTGATCAATGTCTTCCATCAGATGGTCGCAGACGATGGCTGTGGTATCTATGAGAGAATCTTATACAGAGGAGAACCCTGAAGTGCGCATCTTCAACCTGAAGCTACTTTAAAATGTGTCTCGGACTGCGGTGAAAACAATTTCTGTCGTGTAGGGAGAGATTCTCGATTGGAAGAATGTGTACAAGGGAATGCAGCTGTCCTACTCACCACACTCTTATAGTGGCTTTGAGCACAAACCACGAAGGAGATGGCACCCGTACACATCAGGAGAGTAGTGCCGTGCTACAGCCCCGGTAATCGGGATGAGCTGCGCTCAGCTGGGTCCGATGAGTTCCGCGGCTTGCGAGCCAAACACGAAAGACCTAATATGATGAATGTAGACCTGAGGCCGTAGTCAATTTGCAAGTACTGCCACAAGTAGGGACCGTTGCCGCAGTAAGACACCACGGACAAAGCAAACTCGCCATAGAGGACAAACTGGTGCAGCAGTGGACTGGGAGGAGACGCGAGTCATTGAATAGACGCCCATCATCTGTTTACGCGCGACAGCCACCACCAGGCGGAGACGTAATATCGCCGCCTCCCTGTACCTCTTTGCTCAGTTTCTTGTCCTTCAACTAGCGTGCTAACGGTCTTCCAGAGCTAGCGAACGCGACGATGGCTGCATCGTTCGCGACATACGCTTCCCAGTTTTTGACCAGGCAACAGCAAGCGGGCACATCGAGTCTGTCTTCATCCCAGCCTCTGTTTTTCTCGTTTTCAACCGACAACGGTTCCCGCGCAGGTAACCCGGACGAAGCCGACCTGGATGACCTGGACGATCCACATCTCAATGCCAGTGCTGCCAGTCGAGGCACGGTAAGGGGTCAGGATGGGCATGAGCTAGGGGAGGACGATGATGATCCGTACCTCCGTTTGGACGAGGAAGACCCTGGCTTGCCTCGCTTTCACTCACAATCGATACCCCTGTTAGGGGCGTCGGAGGGTGATAGTGCAAAGGGATGGTTGGCCCATGCGTCGCCTCTGCGATCCCCGTCCCCGTCGCCTTCATCCTTATCGGCCCAGTCGGGAGACACCCCGCCGAACCTCTTCGCTCCATCGTCCCGGCTGCATACAGGCACAAGTCGATTACAGCCCCCACCCCCACTACCTCCTCCTCGAACAGAGGTGACATTATCTCTCACGCAATCGCTCCTGCCCCGGGACGGCCGCACGCGACCCCTAGACGTATTCTCTCTTCCTGATCCTCGGTACGTCTCCCGAGGTAGACGGAAGTATCATGACTCTACTTGGACAGCCCTTTGGTGTGCAGGACTCAGCATATGTCTTCTCTTCTCGATCATCATCCTTTTCCTCACTCGCCGGCCCACTAACCATCCAAGAGTCAAACTGCCTTACGTTACGCTATTGCACACAGTTCCGCTCCTCACTATTCTGATTCTCCTAAGTGCTCTTGTCGCTTACACACATGTGTTTCTCCTGCGGATTTTCGTAAAGCCCGTTATGATTGCTACTTCGGTGTTCATACCGGCGACGCTGTTCATTTCGGCTATATGGGCCTTTGTCGGCAGTTTTATGTGGAATGGCGATCAGGAGCCAACCTGGGGCGAGACCGTGGGGTAAGTCCGACTCTTGCTCGTCCGCGTTTGCGCTCATTTGCGTCTTAGGCTTCGCCTGTTTGCCTTGATTCCGCTTGTGCTGGCTCTTTTCACAGCCCGTAAATTGCTGGATCTGCCTCGCGATATACACACCGCATCATCTCTTCTCACACTTACCACCCGTCTACTCATCGCAAATCCCTTCCTGCTGGCACTGTCACCTGCAGTTCTCTTGGCGACTCTTATAGTTTCTATTCCATTTGTCACGCTTGCATTTCGCCTGCTCCTGATTGGATATTTCTCTCATCCTTTTGGCAACACTAGTGGATGGGAATGGCACGTCCGCGGGTGGGCGAACTGGGCAATTGCGGGCACCATTGGCGTATGGCTCTGGAGCTGGGGAGTGGCGAGAGGATCATTGCGCGTGACATGCGCAGGGGTTATTGGCGCTTGGTACTTTGCTGAGTATGTATTCTTGTATTACTTCCGTTGCGCTGCTTACGAGGTTAACCAGTCCTACCCTTCCACTTCCTCCGCCGACTTCTACCCACACTATTCATGCAGCCATCACGCGGGCAACCCAACCATCTCTGGGCTCTATTGTGCTCTCTGCGCTGATCATCGCTGGTCTTCGATTCTTGGGCTTGTTGACCACAGGCCTCCGCGCGCTACCATACTACTTACCCCCATATCTGCGCCTTCTAACCGTTGGTGCAGGTATGGCGGTAGGTTATCTGGAGAACGCGACTTCCTCATTGAGCAAGTATGCCCTTGTATACACGGGCCTCACGGGTGACCCATTTTTCCCGAGTGCCCGTCGCGCGCGGGCATTGACTGCCGCGGTGGAGAACACGTCTGCAGTGAACTACAGGCGAAGATTCAAGACAGAGCGTGAGTGATTCGGTTTTTGCTGGGGCGGGAGCTGTTTCTGACATTGACTAATGGAATGGAACACAGCGCCGTTGACACTCCTCACCGTTGCTCCTCTGACTCTCACGTTTCCCTTCGCTCTGGGAACGTACTTGTTTGTGGCGCACACGTTGAACGTGCCAGAGCAGGCATTGCCCGCTGCGCTCCTCGCGGGAACTGTCACTGCCCTTGTTGGCTTGTTTTGTATCGGGCTAGTCAGAGATACGTAAGTGTTCGTTTTTCCAGCCGCGCTCGTGCGAGAAATTGGCAAGTGGGCTCATGCGATGTCCAGAGCCGATACTCTCTATATGTGCTACTGCATCGACAAGGATGTGGGAGAACGACACAGAGATGAAGTGTTTGAGGCGGTAAGGTGTTCGGTGCATCCGTGCGCAGCTGGTGCTGATGGCTTCCTCTCGCAGTTCGAGTATGAGAGTCGTACAAGGCCTGCACCCGCCCAGCAACATCAGCCTACGCCACCAACACGGGACCCACCGCGACATCGCGACCGCCTGGACGTCCAGTCTCCCCCATCGCCCCCGCGAGCGGAGACTCCTGATCCCTTCGAACACTCGCCGCTGGAGGAGAATCTCCATCGGTACCCCGATCCGACATCACCAACGGCTTCTGGTGGGCTCAACTCGAAGTCAAGGTTGCCTCTCAGCAGGCGGATGAGCGGTCTCCAAGAGCCTATGCTCAGCAGCGCTCTGCCTCCACACGAGAGCGACGAGGAAGAGGGCGACGAGGACTCGCAGCTCTTCCCTGGTTCAGATTTGTTCTGAAGGGCAACTATCTTGACCTGAGTGAGGCAGTGGACCTCCTCTGACCACATCGTGGGTATTGCGCTGTCTTCGCTGGAGGTTCTATGGTGGTGGTGATGCTGCCACGCATGGTGGTAACCATATGTATATATTCTTGTAATTTTCTCTTGGTCGTCACAGTAATTTGCTATGTCAATAGAGTGCTTTCCCGAGTTTTAAGTGCTGGACTAGCGAGCAAGTCCTCACAGCACTTTCGTATAACCTAGGATGTGCCTACTTTTCTGTGTTGTCGAGAAGTGGACAGGAGGGCAACCTAACGAGTATAGTACATGCCAATAAATTGTGCCTGCCAAGTTACACAGCTCGAACAAATGACAAAAAAAGTTTCTGCGAAAACGCTGTCTACATCACACTCATTGAGTGATTGTATATTTACATGCTACACATTGATAAATTGAGCTTAAATTTTTATTTTCGCAAATCTAATTGGTGTGGGGCTGACGCGCTACAAGTTCTCAAACCTACCGCGCCCGGTACTATCATTGCACCAGTAATGCAATCGCAACAGGAGTGCAATTACTGAACTTACAGCTGCTCCTCCCCCTCTAAAAATCCCAATAAATCATGTATGACACAAAATACGATTATGATACTATTGTGTGATTTTCGTATGAATGAAAAATACGAGAGCGACTCGAATGCCTCGTGAGTGTGTTTTGAGGACTACATCTCGACCAAGAGTGGCCTCGGGTGGGTGATCGCCATGTCCGATTGACATAATAACTCACCATGACTATGTGAAGAACATACATGCCTCTATTCTAATTTCTCCGGAATAATCTGCATAGTGAACCCCTCCTGAATCCTGTGTCAAACAGTAGCGACTCAATTCTGTGACATTAAGGCATAATTGGCATCGTGAATCTTGACTCAGCTGATGGTAGTGGTGGCATACTTCACATAACTTCGCAGTCCAGCTACTGAACGCTGGGTGGACAAAGAAAACGGCATGTGTGGCATTGTGACGGTCGACGTGACATGCCTCGGAGAAAAGTTGCACTACTGTTGCGACTCTGCTCCGCTCTCGGTATTGCTCGATTCTTGACATACTGAGCCTATTAAATTCACGTATGTACTTTCAAACATTCTGCATCGACTGATGAAAATCCCGAGACGTTCCGGTAAAATTTGCGCTATAGGGAGCCCAGATACTGAAAAAGTTACATTACTGGTGCAATGATAGTAGGATCATCTGAAATGGAATTTATTACTGGAGAGGTACAGTCTCTGCTTGACCGTAAGGGTGATCAGTGAGACGTAATTCGTACCGCGCCCGGTACGACGTCCTCCATTTTTGGAGGCTCCCGCCCGCCGAGCCGATTTGGAGGCTGACGGAACTCAGGGGGTCGACAAAAAAAAGTGATATACCTGGCGGGTAGAGGAAATAGGAGTGCGCAACCTCCTTCTTGCACCTCAAGGATCCCGCCAGGTATGTTTTTTAATTCGAGCTCAGAGAGCGCACTCTCTTTCGTGGCTAACAAATGGATCGCGCCAGATCCCTTTTTCGCATACCCTATCCATATAGTGTTTTGTCCTGTATTGTCCGCGGTCTTTCGGACCGAAAAGATGTATTTCTAGGGCGTTTCCGGTGGGCCAAAAGCCACCGGGACGCTGCGTCGCGCCAAAAGATGTCTTTGAGAGTCCTCGCTTGGACAACAGTCCGAACCGCTGCCAATTAGGACGTTTTAAACAAAATATGGCCAACGCCGGGGTCGAACCGACGACCTTGGCGTCACATAATCTCTGGTTCAGGCCCGAAGATATTAGCACCACGCTCTAACCAACTGAGCTAGTCGGCCGATATTAAGGATTAGATATTAACATATTTGTATGTAGAACATTTATGTTTAAAAAGCTTATGCGGCAAGTATATCAATTCCTTTTTACGTTTATGTGATGTCAATACAACTGTCAATCTTACATAGGAACAGTCTATTTTGGAAGCCAGCCCTTCAAACCACACTGAAAGACACAGGTGATACTCTTGCCTTGGATGCATCCGGCGGAGATGGCGAGGCGGTCTAGACGTTCGAAAGTTCATTCGGTGATCAGAACAGCAATGACACAGGCCGGTCATTCATTGGGGTACTGACGACAGCGACGACGGCCACTATTTTGCTCCGACTCCACCTGGTGCGACGTGGTAATGAGGAAACCGGGGAAGGTTATATGACGACCGGGAAGACAACCAACACGCACCACATCCGCATGCGAAATTCGGCGGCTCAGCGGGCACTCGGTCGGACAGGCACGGAAATTGACTCTGCGGAGCCACATCGCCAGGCGAATACAAGGGCGCCACCGCCTGTCAAACTGCCGCAGAGTTCGCAAATGGGCAGCCTCGCGGTGTTGAGCCACTCCTGTGTGCTGGCCTGGCCGGCGCGTGACGTCAGCTATGACTGGGAAGACGAGGGCAGCAGGCCGCACCAGCGTCCGCCGAGACAAAGGAAAGGGTTCCCTGCACGGGCGCAATACCGCGGGGGCAGACTCTGGCCCATTTCGCCGACATGAGGGTGTGCACACCGTGAGTGACACTCCCAAGCAGGGCGACTGGTTGCATACGCACACTGCGCAGGGCACGGCTCCCTGGCCGCAGGTCCCCCATGAGGCGCGGAGCTGCGGCGTCAGCAGACCCGCCAGCTGCCCACGCCCGCAGGGCAGATGGGCGAGGTCGGGCGTCGTACTGCCCCCTCCGGCAGGGAACCGCAGGAGGAGGGACGAACGCTGCCGTTACCTGCGCTCCACCGTGACCGCAGATGTCCGGCCGGGGAATTTGAAGAGGTTTTTAGAGTTGTTTTTCATTTCCCGGGCCCCTGGGCGACTGCGCGAGTCACGTCGTGGAGGGTGTTGCTGACGTGGGCGGGGCGGGGGAGGCGGGCTGCGCCAGCGGGAGACGGAGGCAGGGTCGCACCGAGGTCGCCTGACTGGCAGACAAAGTGCGCAGCGGAACAAGACCACTCGCACAGGAGCACCCCCGAGCCCGCCCGCACCACAGCGGCCCGACCCCGACAATGCGCACACGTGACCGCGTTCCGGTTAATATCGGCCTGGTCACTAAGCCATCCGCTCAGCGCGGCACCAGTCATAGCGAGCACACCTCCGAGTCCTCGTCATGCAAAACATTTGTCATCTCATTCATAGCTACTACTACCACAGTCAATCCTTGACAAATCGTATGATCTACTGGAGACCCGCTCTCCTAGCTTGATCAGACTCGTACCACCTCTCCCGTAACAGTGCTCGTAAAAAATATCATGTGGGACCCTCTCGTCGGATGAAAAGCGAAGAAAAAAGCAAAACGATCATGGAACCGCGTCCAGGACGCGGTTGAACATGTGAAAGCTGTGCGTGAAATGAAAACCGGTGCCCGGGGGTATACGCCTATGTAGCCAGTTGCGATGCGATGCGGTATGATTGCAGTGCGAGACAGTGGACTTCGGCGATCCTCGGGATGGTGTGAGGCGTCGAATCGATGAGGTTGCAGAATGAAAAAAAAAAAAAAA